ACAAATCTATTTTTTTTTTTTTTTACTTTATTAAAACAAAATCTAACATTTTCTTAATTTTCGGCATTCGTTTATTGAATATTTTACATACTTTTCAAAAAAAAAAAAATTTAAAAACCATCATTGACAACTGGTGAGGACGAGTTCTATATTGGATGTCATCTTCAAAGTAATTTTCACTGTCCTTCAACTTGAGAACTGCAGAGTTTATCATAAAAAGTTGTTCTCTATTTAACTCTTTGTAGTTAGAGAACATAGTCTTGTCTGCACAAATGTGTCGGGTAGCACGAGTATCAATATACAATTCCCTTGAATTTTTAACATGGTTACATTTAGAAACAGCTGCTGAAAGATTAGTCTCTTGTATCCCTTCAGAAAGAGTGTCACTTTCAACCACATTTGTTTGTACGTTTTTCTTAGGTTTTCGACATTCATTAGAGCGACGTCTAGCTTTTCCACAATTGTAACAGTTGTATTTAAACTTCTGGCATATTTGGAGTTGTCTCCTTTTGGTACCATATTGGAGATTTCAACAAAATTTACTTTAAGTGGAACAATATATTTCCTTTCAGTGTTTCTATTATCTTCCTCGATCCTCAAACAGACTATTAATTTCTCCAAATCTATCTCCTTGCATTTGTACTTGAAATAATTCCTGAAATCTCTCCACATAGGAGGAAGATTCTCAATGATGGCTGCAACTTGGGAGGACTCACTCAATTCCATCATTTCAGCATTATATCATGAAGTAGAACTTAAAGTTTTTGTACTTGGCTTATCATGGTTTTGAAGTCTACCATTTTGTAGTAAAAAAACTTGTCAACAATGAACTTCTTTGATCCGGCATCCCAGTCTTGTACTTCTTTTTCAACGAATCCCATAAATCTTTGATCGAGTCCATGTAACTATACACTCTATAAAGTGTATTGTTTAATCCATTTAGAATATAATATTTGCAAAAGAAATTCGAATGCTTCCATACATCTAACGCAATAATCGACTCACGATTATTTTCTTATTCTTGTACAACAGAAACTCTTTCTTTTAGGAACTTTGTCAAATTCAAAGTAGTAAGATAAAATAACATTTTTTGTTGTCATCTTTTAAAATTTACACCTCAAAACTTTTTCGATTTTTCTCCATGTGGGATGTGAGAGTTTGATATAGGTATGGCCAAATACGAAATCACATGGTTCGTACCATTTGTTGTTTGATTTGAAATAGTCTCAACATGATTCATTTCTATTATAAACAGAAGTTCAATGTACATTTTATATAGAAAGAAATGAATAACACCCAAATGCTTATTCCAAAAATTGAAAAATGATGTAACAACAAAAAACGAGTATTATCTTAAGATTGTGGGTATGTAAATATATGTAAATGGTTGTTAAGGAAAATAAAATATTCAAGTTTAATTCACATAAACCTAATTAAACTCTAGAAAATGGAAAGAAAGAAAATAAGAAGAAGAAAAACAAAATGAAAGCCACAATCCAAGGCAAGTGAAAAACACTCTCTCATTAAAAATAATATTGTCTTGCAACGGTGTTAACGGACTACGACACTTATCTCCCAAGATACAACGGATACAACATATGGTAGAAACACTTCAAACCACAAGTAACGGTGAACTTAGAACGAAATTTTCTCTCTACACGAAAATGGTTTTAAAATGACTTTTGGGGAGTATTTTGCAACATTTTTTGACGTAATGCTCAATGCAAATGATATGTGATGCTTAATGGACGTCAAAACGGTCCTTTATATAGAAGAGGAAATGTTTTGAATGAAATGTCGCACCACAAACTCATCAACCTTTGCTAAAAGTCACAGCATTTGTTGTCGCTAGCATATCGCTGGTCTCTCGCTCGAGCGACGACGACATCTTTTCATCGGAACTTCTCTCTCTAGCCTGCCGCTCGAGCGACGGAGATATTAATTTTCAGCTAGTATTTACCATTTTTTATCCAACTTTGGATTGCAATTTCTCATTCATCCGAAATTGATTTTGAGATTCCAAATATACCACAACGATTTTCTTGACGAGTAGAACAAATTAGTCTATTTTTATTCATAATTTGACTATCAGATCACGTCCGAATATTTGACCGCAATTGACACACTAGTCATTTTTTCATACTTAATTTCATTCTCTAAACCAAATTCCAACATTTGTTACTATCGAATTCAAGACATATTACGCAAGGACAATAGAATTGAAATATTAAATCAAAACATAGATGGTACGAAAATGTTTGAACAAGAATTCGCGAACAAACTATAGGCACCAGTTAGCAGACGCCGTTGGTTTTCTTTCTATCAGCGACAAATTTTTTCCAAGCAGTAGTAATCTTCCTCTGCTCCTCAATATCAATTTTGTTCACGACAGTGTCATCACTCCCGGCAGTCTCCTCACTGCCTGCCAACTTCATACGAACCCGGGCGGGTAGATTATCGAGCTCGTGCAACACTTTCTCGATGTCTCCTACAAGTCGCTCCGCCAGAGTTCTAGAGAAATCTTCCCGTATAACAACACGAAGAACGGTGACATGTTGTGCATCGGGCGGCATGGTATACGCCGGCACGATCCACCCGAAGCGACGGAGTAAGTCGGACACCTCAAACTCGGAATGGCGGCTGCTGTCTTTCAAAGAAAATGCTACGAGTGGAACACCTTTGTCTTTTGATACAATGTTAAAGCGTCCAGTCTTTTCTAGTCCTTCTTTAAGTACCGTAGCATTTCCTTGACAGTTTTCCATTATGTTCTTGTATCCCTGAAAAACAGCATTTGAATATTTTATAAGTAACTTTGAAAATCATATCACATATATAATAAGTAACTTAAAAGTAAATTTGAACGTTGTAATAATATATACTAGGACTCACCTCATGACCTAAGCGAATAAACTGATAATACTGTGCAATTACTTGACTAGAACCTGTAGATCATTATATAATATATTAGCTAATGCTGACTAAAAGGAAGATGTTGGATCATATGCTATTATGAGTTGAAGACATTGAATTCTTCACATAGATTGATTCGAAAAATGTCTCAAAATTTAAGAATTAAGCTTTGCCAAACATGCACGAAAGTATGTGACAACAAATTTATTGACGAGATTTTAAATCCCGCCCCGTACTGTCTGCAAACGACCGAATCGATAAAATGAGTTTTTATAAAAATACCTTTAGAAAAGTTGAGTGTGAAAGTAGGTTGATCAGTTCCAAGATAGTTGATATGAAAAATGAGTTCATCAGGTAAGTCATCTTTGCTCCTCCAAATGACCCAGCCAATTCCTGCATACACAAGTCCATACTTGTGCCCACTTACATTAATACTTTTCACCAGTGGCAACCTGAAATCCCATTCAAGTTCTGGGTAAAGGAATGGTGCAATAAAGCCACCACTTGCTGCATCCACATGAATATGTGTATCCCATCTGCCAAGAACAAACATGACAATTAATATTTATCTTCTATTCAACTTGTGGGTTAACCGTTTATTATTTTTTTATATTGAAAGTCTTAAGAGTTCGAGGAGTTGAAATACAAATGATCAATCGCCTATGAATTGCACGGAGAATTGGCACATGATTTTCCAAAAAAAGGTCGAAATCATTGCTAGAGGTGGCAATCGAGCCTCTCGGCACTCGGCTTGTTTTTTGACGAGCGGCTCATGGGTTTTTTTTAATTTTTTTTTGTAAGGTCTAGAACTTGTATAGTTATAAAAAAAAACCCGAGCTCGCGACCTGAAGCTCGGCTCAGCCCAAACAAGCACGAGCCGAGCTCGTGCATATAGAGCGGGCTCAGCCCATTGCCACCACTAGTCATTACTCTTTTAGCTTTGATTTCTATTTTTGTACAAAAGAAATATTTTCTATCCGAAGAGTGAGTATTTATAGTACTCTGTATTACTAGTTCAAATGAAATACAAATATTAGTGTATCAAAAATTGAATAAGGAATCTTATACAAATTTGACATGAAGTTCCTATAAATTTTTGGAACTAACAAATATTTTTTCTAATTTTAAATATCATTAAATTTACAAAATGGGGTTTATGTCGTGATAAATATGAGATACCCTGCTGGCGTGGTGGATCAGAAAGTGTCTGTCCTGTGTCAAAAATGTAAAACAAAGTATACAAATATGGCATGCATTTTGTAATATTCAAAGACATGATTTCTCGATATATGTCAAACACAGATACTCCACCCAAGAAGAACCAACACAAAGACTAGAATATTACCCCGTTGTTTTGTTCTTTTCAGTCAAAAGATCGTTCAAGCGCTTGACATCTTCAAATTCTCCATTGAGAGTGGAACCAAGAATAGCAGCTACACAGATTGTGTTCTCATCTACCATTTCTACTGCTTTCTCAGGGTCCATCACATAGTAACCATCTCTCAATTTGACCTCCTTCAACTCCACTTCAAAATACCTTGCAAATTTCTCCCAACATACCTGGATACAAGTGATGATCCAACTTGTCATTTTAAAGCGTAGATGAACCCGTAAATTAAACTTGAAATAATTTCCCGTTGTCGAAGATGAAGATTTGAAACAAATATTTCCAATCCCTAACAGTTTAAGCTTTTAGATGAGACGATTTAACAATCCTGAAAAAAAAAATATTTATAACCTGAACGTTAGCACCAGTGACAATGTTGGGTTTATCGTAGGGTTTTCCCGCGGCTTTCATCTTGTTCTGCCATTTTCTCTTGAACGCCAAACCAGCAAGCATGATGGCTTCTGATGATCCTACAGTTCCAACTCCAACTGCTGTCTCTCCATCTCCAAATGGTGCATTAAAAAGATGTGCGATCATGTTAACGCATCGATTCTGCGTGCATACAAAACCTTAGAAATCTTTGTTATAGTATGAACAATTTGGAACTTAAAATGTATAATCCTGATTGTGCTTTCTACAACTATTGAAATATTCATTTATTATTAAAATATTTTATAGAATCAACATCTTATAATCAATTAAATTATAATTTAATAATCAACTAAACATCTCACTAAATTATTGGTGAGCACTAAATTAATAGTGAAATTACAAGCATCTCACTACAAAATAGGATATGCTGTCTCAATTTGGGTCATCTTTTGACAACTTACTAAGCCTCCGTCGAGCAAAATTTATAAATAGTCAAACTTTATTTTTAATCACACAATTCAATAGATCTACAAGTACTATCTGCTTATAATCACCAGTCATTTCTTTATATTTATAAGTTAAATCATTTATAAGTTCTTCCCAAACAAATGGTAAATCAATTAGAGATACTAAATAACTGGGCATCACAGATACTATTACTACTTTATCGGGTTAAATTCACAAATGGCCATCCAACTTTATACTTAGTGTCATCATAGTCACTTAATTTGATTTTATTTCATCATGATCACCTAATTTTATATAACATTTCACTATAGCCACCGAATTTCATATAACATTTCACCATGTGACCTAATTTCTTTTCACAATTTCCACTAATTTTAAAAGGAGTAAAACGGTAACTTTGTATTATATATATAAAATTAAAAAATTAAAAGTTTTTTTAAAATTTTAAAAACGTTTATTTTAAAATAAGTTTTTATTTAAAAAACCTTTTTTTAAATAAGTTTTTATTTTATTTTATTTTTTCAAGTAACATTTTTTTTTAAAAATAATTTTTTTTAATTTTATTTTTTTAAGTAACGTACTTTTTAAATAAGTTTTTATTTTATTTTTTTAAATAAATTCTAACTTTAAATTTTTATATATATAATGCAAACTTACCGTTTTACCCCTTTTAAAATTAATGAAAATAGTGAAAAGAAGTTGGATGGTCATTGTGAAATGTTATATGAAATTTGGTGACCATGATGAAATGTTATATAAAATTGGGTGGCCTAGTAAAATAAAATCAAATTGGGTGGTCATGGTGACATTAAGTATAAAGTTGGATAATCATGGTGAAATAAAATCAAATTTTGTGGTCATCGTGACACAAAGTATAAAGTTGGATGGTCATTCATAAATTTAACCCCTACTTCATCACATACAAAACATGTCTTATCCACCAAATGCGTTCAAGAGTGATATCCAAATGTTGATATTTTTGAGCCCTTGTAT